CCAAGCCAGGGGCTGTGTGTGCCCCTACACCTCTTTTCTCCCATACCAGGGTTCCCCCCCTTGCCTGGGATTATGTGGGACCCCATTCCCCCTTCTCCCTATACGAGGGTCCTGCATTCTCTCCCTCCTTGCCGGGGACTCTGTGCCCTCCCCCCTTTCCTCGCTGTTATTCCACACCAACTTCTCTTCAGCTGCTGCTTCTTCTAGGCCATGTGGCTCCCGAGTCCAAAACCATTCCAGTCCCCGCTCTCTCTCACCCCCAAAGAAAGACTTTTAAAGAAATCAGGCTGAGAAGCAGCTGGATTAATTGCCCACGGTGTGATGTAAAAACCAAGAGGAACACCACCCCCCATGCCCAAGGGAATTAAACACTGGGTAACAGCTTCCCCCACAGACATCCCTCCTTATCATTCGCTTTCATTTTTCAGACCCAGCTTGTGTTCCAGTCACATACTTACAAGCAGAGAAACAAGTGAAACTTAGTACTGTAAACAGCAGCAGTTCCCCCCACTGCCACTAGAGGGCAGGGGGCCATAACGTTTGGTTTGCACACCCAGCACTGGGTTTCAAACTGTGGGGCACGCCCCGGTGTGGGCGTGGGCAGAGCGCGAGGACCGATTCCGTTTATGAACAACCTCTCGGTGTCAAGTATCAGAGGGGTAGCCGTGTTAGTCTGAATCTGTCAAAAGCAACAGCAGCAACATGAATTTCCGAAGGGGGCCACAGCACAAAACGTTTGGGTTCCTCGGCTCCACCGCATCAGGCATCTGCTGCAGGGGACGGAAGCTCCCCCAATAGGGCCATCGCATCCAGATGCTGGGCAGACCAGCGGCATTTGGAGCAGACCCCTCTCAGATTCATCAGCACAAGGGCACCCTCGGAAACCCACTGCCACCCAAGGGGGCAGCAGGACACCAATTTCTCAGCTGGCGACCTGCGGTGAGCCTGCAGCCAGAGGCTTGATACGAGGGTGGTGGGTGGGGAGAAAAGGAAAATGAGGTAGGCAGGCAAGAGGTAGGAAGAGCCAGGAGGAGGCAGACTGCAGACAGGACTTCGCAATGATGTCACCTGTGCTGACCCATGAGGCTCTCTGTCCCGGATATTTACCAGCCAATGTCAGCTATGGAGCTCAGGGAGTCGAGACAGGTGCTTTTACAACCAAAGGTCGTGGGGTTGATCCTGGTGCTGACGACAAATCTAGACAAGGGGTGGAGGGGCGCAGTGAAGAGAGTGCTGAAAGTAAGACAAGCGAAGCCACAGCAGGAAAGAAAAAGCATCGGGAAGGCCGAAAGTGAAGGAGAATGAGGGGGGGCGGGCAGGGAGGAAGAGAAGCTGCGTCCCTCTCCCCGACTGTGATCTGTTCCCCAAAGCAGAAGAGCCCAGATCTCTGCTCCAAAACAGCCTCTTTATTGTGCCAAGAGGGAGAAAACAAAAACAAAAACCCCACCGTTGTAAACAAGTATGTGAAATATACAGGTTAAGTTACTCATTGTCTTATTAACAAAATAAAGCTCTATCTATATTTACAGTGATAAAAAAAACACAGCTGGTCGCCTGGGCACATCTGGGGCAGATTTACAAAACGGGGGGTGATGCCTATTTCCAACGCATTCCTGCCTGTACAGTCCCCTTCCTCCCATCCCTTCCCCCCTAGCCCCACTAACCTGGACCCCAGGGGCTTGTCAAGGACACCACAGGAGGGACAGGGGTAATAAATAACAGAGAAAGGAACCCTTACAGGAGCTGAGCCCTGCCATGGAAAAGCCAGCACCAGCTGGGTGGGTGCTGAAGGGGCTATAGGGGGTAGGGCAGATATGCCACCGGGCCTTTGAGGGGATCCTGAGGTTCAGCCTACATGCACACACACGTCCCCTCAGTTCCCAACAGTTCTTTTTTGCCCCTAATCTGGGGACCACTATTCACTCTGTCTCACATACACGCGCACCAATTTCTGACATAGCAACCTGTGCTGCGCCTACCTCAAGGTGATGGGACCCCATATCAATACAGAGGGTTACTAGACAGAACTCTAGAGAAGCCCTCCTTCTCCCAGCACTGCTAACTGTGCAGTGTTTTAGGAAGGAGACACCTTGCTCAGCCTGGGGGTGCCTCCTGCCTGGAAGTTGTTGCACTGACATAGGAACAAGCAAAACAAACCACATGAGATTAGAGGTTGCGAGGAACCAAGACCAAGCCAGGAAAGGGGCCCATGCCCCAGGCCACAAGGGGAGTGCTGCGTACAGGTGACAGCAGTTGAAATAAGGACAGCAGCAGGTGAGAAAAGAAGAAGAAAGAGGGCCAGATCCTCAGCTGGTGTAAATCAGCAGAAGTCCATCGGCTTCAGTACAGCGATGCTGATTTAGACCATCTGAGGCTCTGGCGCTCAGTTCTTAAACTAGATGCAAGATCGAGCCAACAAATCAGGTCAGCCAGTTGTTGCCATGTCTACCCCGGAGATTCAGGGACTCACCCCATTTAACCCAGGCCTGCCTGGGTCAGTAGTCGCTCCATACAGGAAACCAGTTACACCGAAGCAACCTTGGGCAGCTCTTCTCCATGGGCCGCGTGTTCCCTATCAAGCCCCCAGGCTGCACTCCTCTAGCAGCCACCAGCTGGGGCGCCAGTGTCCGGAGGTTTGTACGCAAAGCAAAACCCCCCTCCAATAACATGATCCGGACGACCTGAGGGGGAATCTTTGCACAGCAGCCAAGCAGCACTAAGGCCAGATCAGGGAAGGGGTGGAGAACATAAGCACCTGCAGAGGACCACCTCCCCTCGCCGCCGTCCCCAGCACAGGCCAGGGGGACGTCCAAGCAGCTCTCGCTGTTAGCTGCCACCTGAGCTGCTGGGGTTCTTCACTCCCACTGCAGCCTGAGCCATGCTAGGGAAAGGAATCTGCAGGTGAGGAGGACCCCAGCTGTCAGAATGGACCTCTCCTTCCTGCAAGCCAGGACTAGCTCCCTGCCTGTGGGCTGTTGGCTTGTTTTGGATGCTGTTTCGGCTCCTGCCACCAGGGAGAGCCAGGGTCCCATGCTGGGACCTGGTTTCCAGCCCTGAGGCGTAGCCTGTACCATGCACACTCCACCCAGGAGGATTTGCTTGGGGAGGTGAAGGGAGCACAGCTGGCACGTTCGGTTGTGACAGTGGCTGGCAAAGTCTGTTGGCTCAAATGGATTTGCAAAGCTGTAGGAGACCCGCAAGAACAGCACAGGTGTAGTAGCCAACGGGGGGGAGCCGCAGGGGAATCCCAACCCAAGGGTCCCCGTCTGGTACAGGCACCGGTAGCCAATGCCGTGCCGCTGGGACAGGCTGAGGCTCCGTGCCCATCCCATGCCAGGAGCTGAGCCCCCTGCAGCAGAATGCCCCACAATGCCGCTGCAAGGAAACGGGCAGCAGCTTTATTTACAAACTGGGCCAGAGCTGTCAGGAGAATAAAAGGCTCCTCTGAGACCTTGGCTCTTACTCATGCTCGTCAAGAGCTAAAAACGGCTCCATGGGAATTTACTGGCAGGGTTCAGAGAGCAAGGGGGAGGGAACGAGAAAGAAAGGCAGGAGCGGGGGCGAGGGCGGGACGGGCTGGCACACGGACTGACTGAGGAACAAGTGTTCCACCCAGACATTTGCTTCGGAGAAATGAAAAGGCCCCAGAGAGCCTGGCTGAATGGTGGCAACTGTGTTGCTGCTGCTGCAGCCCCTCCAGCTGGCAGGGCCCCGAACAGGTGAGGATACTCCTCAGCTGGCTGCACAACAGGGCCGGGATGGGGGGGGGGGGAAGACAATGGACAAAGGTCTGCCCAGCCCCTGGGGTCTTTCCTTCTTTAACCCCTGCAGAGCCAGGGCTGCCCAGAGGCAAATGCATTTGTAATACTGGGGTGGGGGGCGGGTTACGTTTTCCAGACCTTTTTCCCCATCCCCCCATGTCCTGTTAGCTCAACGGCAGGAGAGTCTCGGGAGGCGTTTCCCACATGGGCTGTTTGTAGCTCACTTGGGACCCTCCACCAACTGCTCCGAGCCCCATGCTCCAAGCGGGCCTGGATCTGCAGCCCAGGAGGAGGTGGCGCCCGTCCCCACCGCAGTGAGGGACTCTGGATGGACCTTGGTGGCTAAGGATAAGAGGGAGTGGGAAGCCCACCCCTACCCGCATCTCCTCTGTGCGGTGATTTCTCCCCCACCTTTCCCCAAAGGCCTGGCTCTCCGTGCACAACACGGCTCGGCCGAGGGGAGTTGGGCTCCTCCACATCCAACTAACCATGCAGCACCTCTCCCGCAAGCCAGTCTTTAAACCTCCTGTTGCTCACGCTGGCGAGAGAGCTGCACGGGAGGGAGCCAGTAACCCATGCCACTGCAACCTCCGGAGGGAGAAAGCTGGATTCCACAGGGGGCAGTTTCCGGATCCGCAGTGCAGTAGCTCCCCACATTCACAGCCCCACCATCCTAGATCTGCATCCCCTCCCCCTTTAGCTAGCTTTTACACAGCCTTGGGATTGCTCTGCCCCCATGCTGAGAGGCCAGGCACCTCCCACCTCTGTGCCACAAGGAAATATCCAGACGTCAGCTGGGTGGCCAGGACCCGCTCATGCCAAGCAGCATCCCCGTTGCTGCTTGGGCAGATGCACAGCACAGCGGAGCCGGCACCTCTTCTTTCTGGGCATGCAAATGAGCCAAGGGCTGCCCCCATGCCATGTGCGTTGGCACGCACACTTCCCATTGTCCCCCGCACACCACTATATCCGTCCAGCACAGCCCTGCATGCCAGGCCATTCGGGGGGGGCAGAGCTCTGCACGCAGAGGGATTCGCCAGCAACCCCCTGAGTCTAGTCACTTCCTAGATCAGGGAGCCATGCAGTGATGGCAGTTCTCCCCAAGCCCCCATTCCCACCTCCTCCCCACTCAGTCAGGTCTTCAGTTCCAGCCCCACGCGGGGGAACGTTGCAAAATCTGCTGCTTCTCCCCACTTCACACACGCGCGCGCCCCACCCCACCCCACCCCCGCCCTCTGCTCAGTCCGTGAGCACCACCAGCTCCCCGTCGCTCTTGTCCTCGCCCTCGGAGTCCTCGTCCTCGCTGTACCGGTACATCTCGCCATCCGCCACCGAGTGCCCGTCCTCCCCGCCGTCACCCTCTTGTGACTTGAGGCTGCGCGTGTTGACGATGACGGGCATGTTGGGGTCCATGCTGCGGGGCAGGTAGTGCTCCACCAGCGGCGGCGCCAGCTGCATGCCCACCGGCCTCTGGTACAGGACATCCGATGAAGAGGCTTGCATCTGACTGCCCTGGGGCCTGCAAAGCAGGAGATCACAGTCACCGTCCCTGGGCATTAGAGCTGGTTGGGAAATGGACTCCCACCCTCCCTTGGAAAATTCCAATGAACACGAAAACAACAAAATTAGGCTTGTTGAAATTTTCACCAGAAGATTAGAGTTTTCAGTGGAAAAACCAAAACAGAAATACTTTGGCCAAACACAGAAATATTTCAATTAGGAAAGGCTGCCATGGTGTCTCATGGGAGTTGTAGTTCTGGTGTCTCATGACCCCATTTTCTTCTATAGGTTGGGCTCCCTGTTTGGACAATATCTGCCATGAGGCACCCTAGTCTCTCCTCATGGTGAGGGAGGCAATTGCCTCATGGGAGATGTAGTCCGGCTGAGGAGCCCAGCTCACAGGGGAAACTGAACTACATCTCCCATGAGGCACCATAGTGGCATTTTTGAACCAAAATATGTCAGTTTTCAAGTGTTCCGTTTTTTGACGAAAAATCCAAAATTTTCCTTGGAAAGCAGCAACTTTTCGTAAAAAATTTCACATAATTGAAAACTCTTATTTTCCATTAAAAACAGGTTTGAGGGAAAATTATTGACCAGCCTTACTGGGGACTCTCTCTTCCTTCTGGTCTTTCTGGCCCCCAGCCCCTTTGCAATATTGAATAACCGCCTTTCTCTCAGCTACCATATATACTAATAGATACAGTGCAATGAACTAGCTAGCATGTCTGTGTGCCACTACCCAATCAATACTGGATGGGCTCAGCTGTGTGTCATAGAACCCGTAACTGCTAACAGCTAATGGAGAGTCCCCTTTCCAACCAGTGGTGCTTCTAGGGTATGAGGATGTGGGGTTCCACCCTTACACTACACCCAAAATAAGTTCTTAGTGGCCAAAGTATGTAACACAATGATTACTGGGAGATCCTAAGGATCCCCATGCCCTGGACATATACTGACACTGCTAATCATGTCCTGCTGATCTAACCCCCACTGCGATTTCAACAGGATGCAGTATTGCTCTTCACTTCCTGTCCTAAACGTCTGCGCAGCACTGCTATGCCCTGTGTTCCACTCAGGGCCGGCTCTGGCTTTTTTGCCGCCCCAGGCAAAAAAGCCTCCAGCCGCCCCCCCCGCCCCCCCGCGGGGGGGGGGGGGGCGGCCGGAGTCCCGGGGCGAGGGTGGCAAGCCCCGGCGGGGGCTCCGCTCTCCCCCCGGCGGCCGGGGGGAGGGCGCAGGGGGGGGAGGGCGGCCAGAGCGCCGGGGGGAGGGCGGCGAGCCCGGCTGTGGCCCCGCTCTCCCCGGCGGCCGGAGCGCCGCGCCGCCCCCCTCCAGGTGCCGCCCCAAGCACCAGCTTGGTTGCCTGGTGCCTGGAGTCGGCCCTGGTTCCACCCCAGCGTTCGTTGCAATTGAGCAGCTACAAGCAAAGGCACTTTTTCTGGGGGGGAATGCAGACATACGGGGACCAAAAGAGATGGGAGCCTCACGCTATCAAGTAGCCCTGCCTGGTGTCTTGCCGTCTGTTCCTCATCAGCGCCTTGTACTCGCCCACGCGCAGCCGCTTCCCCTCCACGATGCAGGTGCGCTTTGGCCGCGGCTTGTATTTGTAGTCGGGATACTTCTCCAGGTGCTGCCGGCTCAGCCGGGCCTGCTCCTCGTAATAGGGCTGCTTCTCTTGGTTCGTCATCGATTTCCACCGGGACCCTGGGAAGAGAGAACACAAGGCAGAGAGATTCACAGAACTGTTATGTTTGCCTTTTGAAACTCCCCACCATCCGTGGCCATCACTAGGGACAAAACCCAGGTCCTCCAATGCCATAGCATGGGCCTCTAACATTCGAGCTGGAAGAATAACCGTGTTAGCTGGTAGCAGTAGTAGGCTGTTATCCACTCAAGTGACCTGCCACTTGATGCAGCACAGATTTTGCAGCACAGTGTGTTACACCTTTAAAGCCCTCTCCTGAAGCTGCACAGGCCAGGTGGAGCGGGGAAGGCATTAGATAAGGACTCTCACAATCTTCCCCAAACTACCAGAGCAGCAACAGGAGCAGCAGGGATATTTCTTCTCTCCACCTCTGGGCTTGAGCAACAACGAAGTGCCACACAGGATAAGCAATACTCCAGGAGTGCTCCCAATGCTTCATAAACATTAATGAAACCTCCCAATCCTCTTCAAAGGTAGGTCCATATCCCCCATTTTACAGATGGGGAAACCGAGGCACAGAGCGTCTGGAAAGTGATTTGCCCAAGGCTGCACAGTGAGTCTGTGTCAGAGCTTGGAAAAGAATCCAGGAGCCAGAATGCTTTAGCCTGCCACAGTATCAGTCCTTTCCTTAAAAACCCCTCGGCTAGTGGTCCAAGCAGCAGTCTGGGAGCAAGGCAGCCCAGGGTTCTATTCCCAAATCCCTCTAGAGCCTTAGGCAAGTCATAATTTTCCACTGCCCCAGTTTCTGCATCTGTAAAATGGAGAGAATACTTTGCACACAGCACTTCCCATCTGCGAGGTGCCTCACACACTGCTGGCTCTGTAAAATTAACAGTGTATAATAAAACATCTCCGCTTTCCTGGGAAGTTCCGAGTTTAGATAACCAACTAAATAAAATAAATAAATCCTTCTTTGGAGAACGCTGCCATTAGGGATAAGGCACTGGGATGGAGACTCAGGAGATGGGGGTTCAATTCCTGGCTCTGCAACAGCCTCCACCTGTGACCTTGAGCACATCACTTAGGTCTTGTCTATGTGGGAAAGTTTTGCTGGTTATACCCGTATACTGTGGTTATACGAGTCTAACTCCCAAGTGGACACTTATTCCGGTATAAGAGTGGGTTTTTCCATTTAGCTTAAACCCATTCCTAACTAGCTTGAGTTAAACCAAAATAAGAGAATCCACACAGGACTTTGCACCAGTGTAACTGAATCCATTTAAATTAAACTGATGCAATTTTCCCACGTAGACAAGGCCTCAGTCGGGGTCTCTAGGAGCTACTGTGCTAACAATCCAATAGACGTTATGGAGGCAGGGGAAGAAAATGTCATTTGCCTACAACAACATCTGAAAACAAGAGGAGCCACCCAACTCAAGCGACTTGTGCAGGTCATTGTCCTTGATTGGCAGGTGCTGAGAGGTATGCCAAGCCTCAATGGGACAATGCAGTCACAGGGGACACAGGATATCAAGGGCACAGAGGAATGCAGGGCTATTCCACGGAGCCTGCTCCCATTTAAATGTGATTATCCAGGCCATTGTTAACAGCCAGTCCACCTGTCGTGAAAGAGAACGCCTCCCCCCGCCCTTCCCCGCCGCTGACCTTTCCGCGTCACCTCTCCGTCCTGCGCTTTTGATTCTTTTTCCTCACAAAAGGTATGGCAAGCAGGTGCTGCAGCTAAAATAGACAATCCTGCCATGTGACTCGAATTCCCCGGGCTCACTGACCTTTATTGTCATCCCTGCCAAGGTCCAGGGCAGGCGGGGAAAAGAGGGGAGTGCTGCACAGAATGCAGGCCGGACAGAAAGAGAAGGTCACGCTCAACCAGCAAGTCTGGGGACGGAGCAGGAGGAGAGAAAAATCTCACTTTTGTCAGGGGAACGGGGCCTGCTCCCCAGAAAATTAATGGGGGCCTTTGGATCAGGCCTCAGGGTAAAAGTGGGTCAGTTCAGATACAAGACAGACCCCTGCTCAGAGCTAGACAAAATCAAACCTTACATCTGATGCCTCTTCTTTCTTCCTCCCCTTTGTCCCAGATGCTTTCATGTCCATCGTGCCACGGATGCTAAGAATACACAGACATGCACAGCTAGCCTGCCCAGGAGCTTAGCTCTCACCTGCCACACCGCGACCAAGTCTAAAGAATAAGGTCAGCGTAGGGTTTCCACGCTCCCGGCAAAGTACAGTCTCAGACTCGTCCTTTCTCTCCTGCCCCAGGAGCCCAGGGCTCCACCTTCAATCACAGGAAGCAAGCAGGCCTTTTACACTCCACCCAGCTCTCCCTACTCCCACAACTGCCAGGGATTGGGGCAGCAGCAAACTCTCCCTTCCAGTACAGCCATATGAACCTCACACTGTCCTGGAAGACTACTGTCTGTCTGGTCTAACCAATCCACAGCTGCAAGGCAGTGAAAAACAGCTGACAGCTAAGCCACTCACAGGAGACAGAACCCAGGTTCTATGGCTCCACAACCCCAGTCTGTCCCACTCAGTGGATGGAGCAACACACTCGCCAGCTGGAAAACACTCAAACCATCTCTACCTCTGCTCTTACATTTCATGTCAAAAAGCAATAGTAGGGTTCAAAAAGGATGGGTCCAGATCTCTGTTGCCTGTAGAGTCATTTGCACAAGTGCAAACTGGGAGCTTTCCAATCCAAGTCCTTTGTACTGGTGTAAATTATGGTACAAGGCATAGGACAAGGGAGAATTCAGCATAGATCAGATCTGAAATATGCAGGAGAACAAGTGTTTTGGGAGTAGCCCCTAGTTGTGCAAATAGCATAGCACGGACGGTCTGTCACTCCGTATATTAGAGTAAAAAGCCTGCAAACGCATGTCACATTTGTTCAGATTACCAACCAATGGCATGGCATGTTTTACCCAAAGATCTCAAAGCACTTAAACCTAACACCCCCCCTGTGCAGTAGGGAAATATTATACCAATGGGAAACTGAGGCACAGGGGTGTTAAGATACTTCTATGGGAGTGTTTTATGCATAGATCGCCAGGACCAGCCATGCATCCGGAAGATACACATGGACAACCACAGCTTGGGCAAGTACACCTCTACCCCGATATAACACGAATTCGGATATAACGCGGTAAAACAGTGCTCGGGGGAGGCGGGGCTGCGCACTCTGGCGGATCAAAGCAAGTTCGGTATAACGCGGTTTCACCTATAACGCGGTAAGATTTTTTGGCTCCCAAGGACAGCGTTATATCGGGGTAGAGGTGTATCAGCTCCATGCCTCTGGTTACAAAGATACCCACCACTAGTCTTTTCCACCTCTGCTAAATGTGCAGAAATGAACACAGGCTGCCAAAACAAGAACCGCACCAGTTATTTAAAGCTACATAATTACATTAGCCAGCACACCACAACGTGGCAGTTCCTGACACCCCCCCAAACGCTGTGGGTTGCCATAAGTAACAGATCAGATCCTAACATAGTGATTCTTCAGAGGGAGAAGCTTTGTTCATTGCAGAGCTGCTAAAAGGCGCAAGAGACCAAATTAAAAGCATGCACTGAGGGTAACCCACAAACCCCTGCATTGTGCTAATGCGCACTTGTTACTAACAGTCTGGATGGACTCCTCACAGACCACACCAGAGGCTTTAAATAGCAAGCCTACCGAAGCTAGGACAGAGCAATTCAACATGAGACCACGGCGCGGGGAGCACGGTGAGGTGAGTTGGAGACCTTTGCAGAATGCTGTAGCCCAGGGGGGTTGATACACCGAGCAGAAGAAAGGGTGTGAGGGTCTGACAGACACTCGTGTGATATAAAATCTATATGAAATATTTACCCCCAACACTTAAAATTGTAAAACAAGACACGGTGACAGGAAAAGCTCAGGACTGAACCCTAATGTAGAGAGAGTCGTTACAATATTCTAGAAAGGTAAGATCTTATTGCTGTCACCTCTTGGTTGGTGATGGGCTCTGGGAGTCAGGACTCCTGGGTTCTGTCCCCAGCTCTGGGAAGAGAGTGTGGTTCAGAGCAGGGCACTGAGCGTCAGGACTCCTGGGTTCTATTTCCCAGCTCTGACAGTGTTATGATCTTGGGGAGGTCACTTAGGGGCTGACTGCTCTGAGATCCCTCTAACTTCAGCGGGATCAGACAGCAGCATCCAGCCCCTCTGCAGGTTGGATGAGTTTCCCCCCTCTGTGGAACAGGGTCAGGCTTAATGCATGTAAAGCGCTTTCAGATGATCCGATGAAAGGCGCTGTAATGGCAAAATATTATTTGAATTAAAACTGAAGCGCACAGTGCCAGGTGTAAACAGGCCTGCCCTTCACCTCTGGATTTGTTGGGGAGGGGAGGTCACATCATGCTTATGCCACAAGTGCGATGAATTTGGTGGTATCAGACTACGCTCTCATAGACATTTCCCACACGCACGTCACAAGAATTGTCCCTGTTTGTCTCAGTCCAGGGGGAATTCTGCAGCTTCACAGCAGGGGAATGGCTGGCCAAGGTTCGCGTGCATTGGCAGGGCAGCAGGCATCTGGCTGGCCTGGAAGGAGATGCACTGGCAGAGCGGTTGGGGGACTCAGGACTGGATTAGCAGGGTTGGAGCAGATCGGGAATTAGGTACATGGGCAGAGCTGGGTGGGGGAAGTTTACTTGTGCTATTAGCCCATCACTTTCATGAGCCCCATACCATAGACCACCAGGGAAGAAGCTTCCTTTTATAGCTGCATTTGCACGGCCAGTTCTCTGACCCCTGGCCTCCCATCTGACTAGAGCCAGGATTTGATCTGGGTTCTGGTTTCTAGCCTGCGACACAGAGGATCATCTGAAAGAAGGAGTGGGGGAAGGAGGGAACCAGGGTGGATAAAAATCAATGATTTAAAAAAAAACAAACAGATATTTTTTATTTAAATCGGATTTTTTTGATAAAATGCTTTTTGAGGAAAAAACCTATCTAAAGATCATTTTAATTAAGATACATTATATATACATCAAAGATATCTCATCATGGAATAGGGATTATAAATTCTAATTCTATAGTAAGAGACAATCTATTCATGTAATGTTTAAGAAAAGTTTTGTAAATGAGTTCCAATAGGTCATGGATTAGGGACCCAACTTTATGGGGCTCCAGGGGCTTCTGTATAGATTATTTAGGTTAATCTTTCTATCTACCCAATGGGACTCAGTGCTCAGTCTAGAAGATACCATCAGAGATGCTTAATTTTGCAGTTCTCAAACTGTGGATTTGTGTCTCCAGAGATAACATGCATGTTAACAGCAAAAATGTTTTTAAATAAATAAATAAATAATACACAGAGGTGAGAAATAACAGACCTCAACCCTATTGTCCCTCTGCACATGTGTGTACACGGAGTCAATCCCTTACCTCTCTCTAAAAGTGCAAAATTTCAAAAAGTTTAATAAATAGAAGATTGTTGGGGGCAGAATAGATCTGGACCAGGAGAAGTCTGGAGATAAATGTGAGAAGGGAGGGACAGGCAGTAGAAACAAAAGTGAAATGGTTTGAGCGGCATATTCCAGAAGTCTTGAGGTCTTTCTGAGTGTAGCCTTCATTGATTTGAGATCTACCATACCCTTCTCTCACTAGAAAGGAAAACCTATAATGGCAGCAGGCCGTAAAACAGACCCAGTTTGGGAATAAGAACCATTCAAGAAATATATGTTTGCTGATGATGTTTTAAAGAAAGTCACACCAGTGAACTGGTAGAAATCACTTAAGCACTTGGATTCAGAGTCTGTTGAAGTGATAATTTCACTTTTAACAGCAGCAGCTTCTTCTGCTGGTGTGGAAAGAATATTTTCTTCTTTTGGACTAATTCATTCCAAATTGAGAAATGGTTTGGGACCTGAAAAAGCAGGAAAGCTTGTTTTTCTTTTCCAGATTATGAACAAACAGGAAAAAGAGGGTGAAGACAACTGAGTTAGCTGCAGAAGCCAATATTTTAAGATTTTCATGTTGACCTGGCTGACATAGTAGATTTAATATTTTTTTTAATATTTCTTTTAACTATTTTAGTTAAAAACAATTTTAACAAAAACAAACCTGATTTTAAAAAACTTGAATGTTTAATTAAATTCAAAAATTCATATGCTTGTTTTGTTAAGATATTATATGTTTGCTGTTGAAGAAAAGAATCCAAAATACATAATGTTGTTGTTTTAGTTAAATAAAACAATTTAAATGTCTGTCTGGTGATGTTCCCCTCCTAATACAGCACGGCAAGAAAATCCTCCAAATATTAATGATTAATGCTGAATTGGAGATAGTTCACCTCCCAATGACTTCATAAATATCTGCTTCAATTACCTTTGGTAAATGAAATAACCAAACAATCATTCATTTTCTGATATAGCTATAAAACTAATCTGAAAAGTTTTCAAAATTAATCACGTCAAAAATGAATAGTGTGTACCTTCTAAAAATGAAACCTACATCTCTCTCTGAGTTGTGAAGAATATGTATTAAGGTTATAACAACCAACAAGAATGCATTTTTATGTAGAAAACCATGATTAAATCGAGTCTTCCTGACTAGTGATTTAAATCATGATTTAAATCAAATCCACCCTGGAGGGAACATTCGGGCTGCGGAGCTGAGATTACAATCCATCAACCAACGGGGCTGGCGGAAAGCCCAGCTGGTATGAGAAACATCCTGGGCTATCCTTCACCGTGGATCATTGTCAAAGTGAGCTAGACCCTAGCTGGCCAACACCTGCCATTCTGATTCCAGCTCGGACACCGGGGAAATAAAAGCCTGCTGCTCGCCATCATGTCCCACCACTGACCTCTCCACCAGGGAAGCTTTCTCCTCTGCAGTATTAGCTCATTCTCACAGCTCTAATGCTTCTCCACTAGTCAAATCATACCAGATACCAGTGCATCTCATTGGTGTCTTATCTCCCTCTCACCCCAGCTGAGACATGCTTAGATAAGCTCAGAAAAGATTAGATAAGGATGGACAGATAGCCTTGTCTTTTGAAGATTATCTCCTCACTACCACCCTCTTTCCATAGCCAGGAACCACCCTGGGCTCTGAACCTCAGAGCTCACACGCTAAGCACATTTAGGCCTGGTTGATGGTTGGCATCAAGGGAAAGCACCAAGTGCTGCAGAAAATGGTGCAGCATGTGATGCTTTCCCCCGCAAAACAATGCACAGCCCCATGACCCAATGTGGTGCCAAGGGGCACTGTGCTGCTGGAGAGGCCGACTTTGGGGAGAGACGCACAAAAGCGTGGTCCTGGCCAGTGAAGTGATATTGAGCACCAACCTTTCCTTCCTCCTCTTGGTGCAGAATGGTTTGTTTTTATGGCCCTGCTGCTTTGCCGGTCAGTGCATCCATGTACCAGTGTGGAGGATCCAGACTCTTGCAACAAGCTGTCCCCAGAGAGAGGAGGGGGTTGCTTCTGTCATTTCAGCTTAGCTCAGAGCCCCTTGGCCAGCTGTAGGCTGCATGGCATTAGCAATAGACAGTGGCTGATGGCTGCATGGGTCAGCAAAACAGCTTGGCAGATTCCATGTCATTGGGAATAGCACAGCAGGGCAAGCCCACCCCACCCTCGCTTGCTTGCGGGACACTCACCCAGGATCTTGCTGATACTGGAGTTGTGCATGTCCGGGAAGGCCTGCAAAATCTTCCGCCTCTCGTCCTTGGCCCACACCATGAAAGCATTCATGGGCCGCTTTATGTGGTTGTTGTTCCTGGACTCGGGGAAATGTCGTGAGCCTGTTAGGGGCACAGCAAGGAAGAGCCAGTTAAAAGACAGGGAAAGGGAGGAACAAACACAAGATACAAAACGGTGACCAAGGTGATAAGAGTCTCCCCAGCAAGGGGGTTTTCCACATAAGAATAAGGGGCGCTTGATGGCGTAGGGATATGCTGCACTGGATTCTCACCATAGAGACTGAGGCTCAAATCCTTGGGAGCCTCCATTTTTAGCAGCCCAACGGGACAAATCCTGGGCTTGGTTTTCAAAGGCACGAGGAACCGGTTGCTTCCAGGTGGTGGGTTCTCAGACCCTCTGGAAAAATAAATCTCCCGTCTCTAGGAGCCTGATTTTTCAGGGGTGCTGAGCACTTGCAGCTCCCCTTAACTTTCACTGGAATTGCAGGTGCTCAGCACTTCTGAAAAGCAGGCCCTGGGTGTCTCCTGTCAGGCACTCAGAAGCTGGGGCATGCAAAGCTAATGGGCGCTTTGGGAAAGTCTGGCCTAAGGGAACTGTCTGGGTCTCAGCTCAGTCCCTAGTCGACGTGTAGCCCCTTTACCTTTAGGAAAGGCTTAGCATCCACACCGAGGGGCCTCAGCCGCTCTGGGGGAGGGGGCCCAGACTAGAACAGCAAAGGGGAGCTGCCTGTCCGGACGGAGGTGCCGCAGCAGAAGTGGAGGTGAGAGCAGGGTGAACAGCCTGTCTGTATTGTGCACGTCTCGTGCCAGGACTTTTAGTCCATCACTTGCATTAGTCAAAGTCAGTCCACGCACAGGCACTCGGCCACCCCACTTGTGGGGCCAGAGACCCTCAAATGCTGGCTTCCCAAGCCATGGCCCATCCCTCAGGCCACCTTCCCTCCCGCTGGCTCTGTTGGACCAATCAAGAGCCAGGATTTGGCTGTAGCTGGCCAGCTGAGGACAAGAGCAGGGACTAGCTCCTGTCTATCATAAGCCCATCAGCAGCAGCTCCCGCACCCGTGGGCGTAGAGGCCATGCTGGCGGCGTTAGGGTGTAGCTCTGCTCCGTTGATTCTCTGTTGGCGTAGAGATCCCGTGGTGCAGACCACCCCCAGAATCAAGGAGCCATAACCCACTCCCTGATGGCCCCCGCCTCAATCTAGCTTTTTCTCATCGACTTTTTGCCACCCTTGTGGATGACACCCAGCTCCATCCACCTCCAGGACATCATTGTCTCCATAGTAACTAACGGGCTTTGACCAAAAGGATCACAAATTGACTTTTTTTTGTAAACAAAGATGAAACCAAGCAAAATAAAGTGGAATTAAGTGAACTATGCCACAGTGCAAGATGCCACGTTTCTACTGCCCCTTCTGAGCCCTCTGGGGGATGGCCCAGCCACAAGTGGTTAGTGTGGCCTTCCCTGGTTGCCTGCCTCCTCTCCTCATAGCTTCCCATGCCCTGGAGCATCACATGTTCACTCTGTATCGACAGCGCCATTTAAATACAGAAAGCGCTAATTTAGCTGTAACATTGAGTGTCCCCATCAGCTGGGGAGAACAGCAGAGCAGGGCTGCAGGAAGTCAACTGAGTGACCACAAATGAAATTCCCACCCATCTCAAATAAGCACTTCCCTTATATTAGGGCTTTGCTATTCTCTTCTGGTTGTTTATTTCAACTCATGTAGCGCAACCCAAAGAGAGACACGGGGCTAGGTAGCCAGGTGAAGAAAGAAGAAGGGGTGGGGGAAGAATGGAAAAGGAAAAAATAAGAGAAGAACAGAAGAAAAGAGAAGAAGGAAAAGTGATGCACTTTCTCCCACTCAGCCCAGCCCCAGGGAATCTCCCCTTCAATGGATATCCAAAGTGCTTAGCACCTCTCAGGATCAGGCCCAGAGTTGGCTTTGGAGAAAACCTCACACAGAGAATGTGTCCTTACCATCCATATCGCAGGTTAACATGGACTCGTCCAGTCTGTGCATGCACGTCTCTTCCATCCGCTCCTTCGTGGGCGAGGAATCCAAGCCCATTTGGTCCTGCAGGCCCGCGGAGAGCAGAAGTTACGGCCAGTTACCAACACAAGTCAGGTCACTGGTGGCAGAGTGACCGGCAATGAACCATCCCCCATGGGCTTCCAGCGCTTCCTCGTCTCACGGGCAGGCAATCCAGCTAGCAGCTCTTGGCTGGGTAACTCTGTCAGGCAAGGACTTCAGCCATGTGCACAACACAGGGATGAGTTTCAGACAGGATTGCCTGAGTTCTAGTGTGTGGTAGACAGTCCCTGAGATCCACTCCCCGGGTCTCCAGTATACACCACACTCAGCATCATCTACCTGGGGAGGATGCAATCCACTCCCAACCCCCAGTGCCCTTATGGAAAAGGGACCTATATGCAGGGCCGGCTCCAGCATTTCTGCCGCCCCAAGCAAAAAAAAAAAAAAAGCCGCGATCGGCGGTGGCAGTTCAGCGGCAGGTCCTTTGCTCCTAGAGGGAGTGAGGGACCTGCCGCCCCCGAATTGCCGCAGGTGCCGCCCCTCTCCCTTGGCCGCCCCAAGTACCTGCTTGTTAAGCTGGTGCCTGGAGCCGGCCCTGCCTATATGGTATAACAGGAGAGACAACCAATAACACTTTGCAGAAACGCCTCGGAACCTCAATAGGGTTTCATAAGGGATGCGGTCCTTTCTCCAGAGGGTGTTTCTCAACCAACCTACAGAATGCTACAGCCTGGAGACAATTCTCCATTCAATTCTATAAGATGGTCTGAAGGAACCTATAGAAAAGGGATTTTCTATTACATTCTATAGGGCTCTTCCTAAGGCCCCCCCTTTATATCCATTCACAGCCTCCCCCTGAGAATCCTTGGTCTCTCTGGCTCCTCTCAGATCTCCCCATTCGATCAGGGACCAGCCCCTCGGCACTCCCAGTCCCAGTGTCGCTCACCTTCCGGTAGGGATTATTCAGAGAGCTCTCCGTCGCCCCGCTGTGGCAGTGCAGGAGCTGCCGTGCATCCTGGAGCGCTTTAGTGATGGCGTCCCCCTCTCCCAGAAATCCTGAGGATAAACCACCCAGTGCAGAATACGTCACAGCCAGCACCTTGTCCTTGCATAGGCCCCATAACCCCAAGAAAGAAGGGGTTACTCCCAGCCATAGGAGCCATGCATCTAGCTAAGAGACATCTAGAGCCTCTAGTTTCTTATTGCCGACACATTCCCTATTAGCATCGAGCAAGGGAAGCAGAGGGTTCAAATCAGAAAGCTTGGTCTCCCACTATTCCATCCGCACCACACAGAAGTCCAGCTACTCCACCCAGGGAGCCCTCCAGCCTTCCCCCCACAGCAATGCTTCTTCCCTGTAGGTGGTTTTCTTCTTCCCCTGGGCGGAGAGCACATTTCTTCTTCCAACCTGGATCTCTCTTTGGGTGGGTGGGGTTTGAGAAGGCTGCCTAGGGACCCTTCCATCTCCCAGCACCAGCACAGACTCTCGGTTTCTCCCAAAAAGAGTCGCCCATCTTGCTTTCCCCAGAACCGTCCTGAACATCAGAGCAGGCAAGTCCCTGAACAATGGATCAGCTCCCATGGACTAGGGAGAGATTCTCCATCTCCCTCCTCCCCATGGGGAGAGAACTGCCAGGATCCCACGAGCGTGTTTCCTCTCTAAGCGACACACCGAACGACAAAGCAGGCTGGGGATGAAGGCAAGGGACGCCCAGCAGAGAGCACGTCTGAGGGTACCTACCCAGAGGCAGACTGGGAGGGCTGGACTGAAGGTCTCTCGTGACCCCGTGGTTAGGAGTGAGGGATCGGCAGCTGCTCATCTTCAGGCTGGGTGAGCTGGAGGCACTGGAGAGCTCAGAGCTTTTGGGTTTGGCCGTTAGGTTCAGTGGCTGTGAAGACTCCTGGGGGGGGGGGGAGGGAGAGAGAGACAGGGAGAAGGGAAGAGTGAGGCACATCCCTGGGTTACGCTGGGTCCCCAGGAGGACGGCAGATTCGGGACGGTACCTGCATCTGGAGGTGGCCTGAGCCGGCGGGTCTCTTCAGCGTCGGAGGGGGAGGGCTGTGCAGCAGCTGCATGGGGTACTCCACTGCAGAGAGGACAGCGAGAGGGAAGTTGGCGAATGAGGTCACAACAGGTGCTTCGCACGCAGCCTGCTGCCAGAACCAAAGGGCAGGTGGGATCTACTTAGGCCTTGTCTGTGCCTGGAACCGGCCCCGATTTCCAGCCCAGCACAGTGGCACTGCACGAGAGATTTGCACCGGGGGAGCTAACCCCTGCTAGAAACCAGCCTGCCATCGGGGCTAGTTCCAAGTGCAGACCAGGGGCTAGAGCCCCATGGCATGGCAAGGATTCAAGTATATTACTATTATTTCTATTACGGTCGCACCTAGAGGTCCCAACTGACCTAGAGAGGGGAAGGGCAGTGGCGGAGCGAGTTCCACACTCTGCATGTCACCACTCCGCCAGAGTGGCACCACAGAGCGCCAGCAGCGAGGTGGCCGGACCAGCTAATCCAGCAGCCATTCTGCGCTCAGCTGTCGGCTCACACAGAACCAGGGACTCTGCAGCCAGATTCAATGACAACAGGAAAGCCGGCTCGCACTGCCTGGGCTTTCAGGAGCGGTTTCACTCCCACCCGGATGGCCAGCCAGAGATGGGCCAAGGTGACCTCAGTCAGATCATCAGAAACCTGCCAGGGAAAGCGATTTGCCTCCCCACTGCTGGCCAAAAAAGGTCACAGTTTCTCCCCCCTCCACCCCCAATCTCAGCTTTTTAGACAACTTTCCTCGGCTCTCCCTGAGCTTCCAAACCCCGAGATCGCTGCCCAAGGAACGGCAGGAAAGGGAGAATGCCCGGATTATGTAGAGGGTATTTCTGAGGGGAGGCCACGCTCCCACCCACACCTCTCCCCCTTTCTGCTCACCGCTGTCCCTTTCCCTGCGCCGATCCTCGCAATACTGTACCCCCTCTGCCTCCCTTACCTGGTTTGCAAGGGATAGGCTGGATGGGAAGCGCTAGCTGGGAGTCTGGGGTCACGGGGAGAGGCTGGTGGCTGGGAGGAAAGGCTGGAATCATGACATAGGGCATATTGACCTGCTGGAGAGAGAGAGACCAAATCACCTTTGCGGAACAAAGCGGCTAGGCCGCGGGGGGCTAATCCCCACTCACAATGGTAAAGGAGTTTCCTGTGCAGGCAAGAGCCAAGGTTGTGGGGTCAAGAGGAAGGGGGGGCGTTAGCCCTTTGAAGGGTGACCATTGTATGGACTGCGCAAGGGGGCGGGGCGGGAAAGCTCCCCCTTACCTGGATCTGTTGCTGCAGCAGGTTAATCTTGTGCTGCTGCTGAATGAGCTGCTGCTGCTGCTTGGCAATCTGTCAGAGGGGGGAAACAGCAATGATACGGTGGCTGGAAAACGCCGGCTAACCGAGTCTTCCAAGGGCCATTAGCCTGGCTTGCCTCCGAGGGGCTACGGGAGGGGCGCAACGCACCGAGCTCTAGCAAAACAAGCCACAAACACAACTGGTCTGCGGAGACGCCAAAGACACAAGGGCAATGGAGGGCTCGGCGTCTCTGACGGGCGGGTTCACGGGACTGGCAGCATCCCACCGGTTAGAATGTATCCCCCATCCCCTCTGTGTGTGATCCACAGAGGTGGGGTAAAGCTACAGCTGCCGGCAAGGGGCCTGCGTCCATTTAACTCAAGGCGTAATGGTGCTGTACCAGTGCAACCGGCTGTGTGGATGCTCTAGTTTGGGTAGCTTAAGTCGAGCAGATTTAAACTAAGCTAAAACGCACTGCTCTTAAACTGCACTGAGAGGGTCCACACAGGTCTTCGCACCGGTTTAACTCAATTGGGGTACGTCAGTGTGTAGACAAGGCCTTGGGCCTTTAGCTCAAGCTGTAGTACCTCAGGTTTAGAGCTGAAGGAACCAGCGATGACCAAGATGATGGTCAGGATCCTTCCACAGTGAAAGAGAAACACCCCAGCAAGCTCTCCCGTCCTGACTGATAGACGCACCCTGCCTCGCTACCCCAGAAGCCCTGTATCACCTGAACAAGGCAACCATCAGCCAAATCCAGGAGCAAGCTGTTTGGTACCTAGGGGTAGCCTCAAAAATTGTCCCCTACCTTCCACCTGAGAAGAGTCCCTGGGCCAAGATGATCCCAGCTTGAAAGGACAGAATTATGGTAATATTTTTTTTTAAATCATGAGAAAACATAAAAAGGAGCCTTCAGCCATTTAAAAGCTACATTTGAACTTCCCTCTGGAGGAAATAGTATCAAAAGAGAGACAACAGCTGGGATAAAGGAAGGATTATTCACCCCATTTACAGATTGGGAAACTGAGGCACAGAGAGATGCAGTGACCCACGCAAGGTCATGCAGGGAGTCTGTGGCAGCGCCAGGAATTGAAGCCAAATCTCCTGAGTCCCAGCCCAGTGACTTACCCACAAAACTGTCCTTCCTGGCACATGTCCCAAGTTTCCACCTGAAATTAGCTTTTATCTAATTTCATAAAACACGAAACACTGCAGCTTCATGCCCTGGAATGGATCAAGCGCCGCAGCCCTGGTACTAACTGTTGCACTAGCCCCTCGGTGCTTCATTTAGCCTTAATTCGGAAAAAGTCAAAACATTTCCTCATTTTGTAAACTTTATATTTTATTCCCTGCTCGGTCCTCGTGCTCCAACCGGTTCTGAGGTGCGGCTCAAGTGGAGCCAAGAGGGTGGGCAGCCCTACCAATGTGTGCTTGCTGGGCTACCTGCCCTGGTTCTGAAACTCACCCCTAGGGATGGGAGACAGGGCAGGGGAAACAGATACCCCAGAGCACTGGCCGAATACCTGCTCCTGCTGCTGCCGAGCCAGCTCCATCTGCTGCTGCTGCTTCTCAAACAGCATGGCTGCCATGTTCTTCTGCTCCGAATGGGCCGTCAGAAGCTGGTCCCGCAAGGTGGAGAGCTGGTTGATCATGACAAGCAACTGCAGCTCCTTCTCCGCTAAGCTCTCCTGGGTTCCTGGGCCAAGCAAGTAACCAAACAGCAGAGGGTCAGTAAACAAGGGCTGGCGGCTTAATAGATGATACCCCATTATTCTACAAGGTTTAGGGTACGTCTACACTGGTGTCAGAGGTTTGACATCAGCACACGTAGACACACTTGAGCTAGCTGCGAGCTGGCCACCTTGGGCACCTGGGGGAGCACAAGACGTACAGTCCCATCCAGGACCCTGGGTATATACTTGAGTGGCTAGCCAATGCTGTCATGGCTTCCCTGCTATTGTTAATTAAAGCTAGCTGGGGTCTATACATGCTGCAGTCACACCTCGGACTGCAGCACAGACATACCCTTAGAGCAGCGGTTCTCAAACTGTGGGTCGGGACTCCAAAGTGGGTCGCGACCCTGTTTTAATGGGGTTGCCAGGGCTGGCGTTAGACTTGCTGGGGCCAGGGCTAAAGCCTGGAGCCAAAGCCCAAGCCCCACCACCCAGGGCTGAAACTTGAGTGCTTCAGCCTTGGGTTGCGGGGCTCAAGTTACAGGCCCCCTGCCTGGGGCTGAAGCCTTGCTATTTGGTTCCCCCCCCCGCACCCCCATCAGGGCAGCAGGCTCGGGCTTTGGCCCCCCTCTCCTGGGGTCATGTAATTTTTGTTGTCAGAAGGGGATCGCAGTGTAATGAAGTTTGAGAACCCCTGCCTTACAGCCAGCAGAAAGCTTAGCTGGAACTTGGACACAAATTCTCTAGATACTTTATTGGCGGGGTTGCTTTGTATTTCATCCCTTTAGCATACGCTCTAGAGACTCACATAGTCGAGTTCTGACCAGATGAATATTCACTAGGACTGGTCAGATCTTTTCCCCAAAATTCCAATGAAAATTGTTACTGACCTTTCCAATTTTGAGCAAAACCAAAAACGGGGGAGGGAGGATGTATGCAAAACTCACCCCCCATTCACACCCCCTTTTCATACACACAAGACAAAGGAGAAAAAGGGCCGGGGGCAGATGGGAAGGTAAGGGCACAGGAGGGGATGGTAGTTACTCTACTGCTCACCTTTCACCTCTTTGGATTCCATGGTGTTTCTACCCAGAAGCCTTTCTTTCCAGTCACTGGAGAGTAACTTCTCAATGGTTGGCATAACTGTCACCATAGGAGTGTACAAGGTGAGGCCAGAGAGATTGGAGAGAGACAGAAAGAGAGAAGTAGGAGAAACAATTTTAGTCGTGGCCACTGATTGTCATCACTGTCTATGAGTAGGGCCCTACCAAATTCACAGACCATGAAATCTGGTGTCTTCCATGAAATCTTATCTTTTATGTTATTTTTATCCTACAATACAGATTTCACAGGGGAGACCAGCATTTCTCAAATTGGGGGTCACAATCCAAAAGGGGGTTGCGGGAGGGGGGTGTCACAAGGTTATTTTAGGGGAGAGGGGTCGCGGTATTGCCACCCTTACTTCTGTGCTGCCTTCAGAGCTGGGTGGCCAGAGAGTGGTGGCTACTGGCCAGGTGCCCAGATCTAAAGGCATCGCCCTGCCAGCATCAGCGCAGAAGTAAGGGTAGCAATACCACAACCCCCCTAAAATAAACTTGTGACCCCCCCCCTTTTGTGTCAGGACCCCTACAGTTACAACACCATGACATTTCAGATTTAAATAACTGAAATCATGGAATTTACGATTTTTTAAATCCTATGACCATGACGTTGACCAAAATGGACTGTGCATTTGATAGGGCCCTATCTATGAGGCTACATTGCTTATCACCAGTTCAGGATCTTGTTCAAAGTATGTTTATTTGTATATCTGTAGATCAGGGGGATTTCAATGGAGATGGATGTTCAGAAACCCTTCTTACCCTCTTTCAAGTTTCTGTTGAAATCTAACTTTTCCTGGCTGCTGACAGCAGGCTCAAACGCAGACCTCCTGGAATCTAACGCATTGCTCACAGGAGACCGGGATTCCTGCAATGTACAAAAAGTGACTCTCAGTTTCCCACCTATCACCACAAACCTCCAAAGGGGGAAGATTCACAGGTTCTAAGGACAGATTGGACCACTGCGAACATCTAATCTCCTATGTAACACAGGCCAGAGAACCACATGCAGTAGCTCCTGTGATGCGGTGAAGCAGGGAGGAGAGAAAATACACTGAAGGGTATAAAATACCATCCCGAGCTCTGCTCTCCAAGAAATATCCCTGCGCACTCCTGACATAGACCCTCTCAGAGGATCTCAAAGCACTTTACAAAGAAGCAGCTTCACAACCTTTCTAAAAGGCAGGCTACTCACAGATGGAGAAACCATGGGAGAGGTTGAGTAGCTTACCCAGTCTCTAGGGAAGGGCCTGAGGCAATGTAAGGACTCCCATTGTCCTTAATGGGCTACTGAACAGGTCCTGGGAGAGTAGGAGAGGTAGGAACAGAGCCTAGGAGTGCTGGCTGGCATTTCCAAGGAGAAGTCAATGGGAATTGGGTGCCTAACTTCTCTGGGCTCCTTTGAAAAGCGCAGCCTGCCTCTGAGCTCTGACCACTAGGCAGCACTTCTCAACTGGAGACTTCTTACTCCTGACCGACGCCAGCCCCTTGAGCCTCTAATGCACTGAAGGCGACTTATTTTTTTTCATGCTGCAAATGCTTGTTTGCAATAGTTTTCAATTATTTATTTAGACTGCTATGCCTCTCTGCAAATGCGACCACCTCCGGGAAGGCAGGAATGGAAAGCAGCAGGGTCTGAGGCTATGCAAGCGGGAGTGGCTCAGCGGGGGAAAACCCAAGAGCAATTATAAAGGGAAAATGAAAGCATAGCTACAGGTTTCCCCAGAGGAACCGGAGCAGCTTCTAAGGCAGCACATCTGTGTGCTGCTACAGCGGGGCTGCTGGCTCTGTTCTGAAGGCCGTTGTTCAAATCCCAAGACTGACTCGATAATATCAGCGATGGACAGAAAGCCTGGGGGAGCCTCAAATTTCAGCTTTATTTCCTATGGATGAGGAGTAAATGCAGGCACTGGACAGGATAACAACCATTTTCTCTTGCCTACCGACTACATTGCTGCATGGCCCAGGGGTCTAGGTTGGAATGTGGCATTACCCTCTCAAGCTTAGGAGGACAAGTTGGTTTCTGTCTCCACCTACTGGCAGGAAAGGGTAAACCTCATAGTGCCGGACAGTGCAGAAAGGTGGGAAGAAAGATGGTTTAGTGGTTAGGGTGCTAGCCAGGAATTCAGGAGGCAGTCACACCTCTGACGTACCCTTAATATGCTTGAAGACTTGGTAGGCCAAAGGAGCTTGGTTACCAGAGTGATGAGTGCATTAGAGATTCCTGGGTTAGACAGAAGAATTAAATAGACAGACCTGGGGTCAGCAGGTGCAACTGCATTCAAGGCACAGACTTATACCACATGGAATTCCATTGACTTCATAAATCAGCACCGAATTTGGCTCTATGGAACTGCACCTGCTTACAACAGGCTGGGATTGGGCCCTGTGCGTTGGGTGGGAAGTGGGAGACCCCAAGCCTGTAGGCAATGAGGAGAGAAGGGACCCAGGAGACTTAGCCCCACCTGTGGAAGAGTCCGGGGGTCAGCACACTCTCTCAGTGACAGTGGCACTCCATGCAAATCGCTGGGGTGGGGATCGGAGCCAGTGGGTGCTCCCTGGGGGGACTCATGGCAGCTATCTGTCTTCTCTTCCGTCTTGATGGTGCAGTTCACCATGTTCCCGGCTCCATTGAGTTCCAGGTGGGGAGAAACAGGGCTCCTCATGGACATCCTAGGGGAGGAGAGAGAGGTCAACATGGTGACAGGGTCAGAGTGGTTGTGCTGGCCATACAGCAACGGTACCCAAGTTCTGGACGCAGAACTGCTAGGAGCATGTTTCAAGAGGGAACCGCCCAGGAATAAATCAATCCGTGCCCCCTTCCTCCCACCCTGTACATTCCAAGAGCTTGGGTCTCTGCACTGTTTAAATGCACGTTCAGCACTGTTGGCAGGAAGCTTGTCCCCACAGAGGGACATCTATGTAACTGTGTAATAGCTATTACTCCTTCCCTCTGGCTCCTAACAGACTACACTGCAGCACCCTTTTGCTCCCAATTCCTCCAACGGCCCTGCAGCACAGTCATCCGCCTGGAGCAAGCACAGGAACCCACTGGTTTCACTCTGTCTGGCTGGTTTGTGGTGCCACCAGGAGCGGAACAATGGTCTTGAGTTTTGCTGCCGTTTGCAAACCCCATTGTTTGTAGTTTCCTCAATGTTCCCTGCTGTGGGTACTGGCTCCAGAGACCAGAAGCTCCCAGGAGAACAAACCCAACCCCCATCCTGTGTGTGATGCCATGCGGTGATGTTGGTCTAGTAAAAACCAAAACACACAGAGTCATGGGATTTGGGGCCAAAACAAGCACGTGAACTCCTGAAGAAACGACTATACTTTGCATTTACCTAGCCGCTTTCTGGAAAGGATCCGGCACCACTTTATGAAGTCTCACAACCCGCCAGAGCACGAGTGAGAAGAACAGCGGTACCCATTGCATAGATGAGCAATCTGAGGTGCAACAAGTCATCGACAAAGCTGAAAACAGAGCCCGGGAGCTCTGGCTCCTATTCAGTATGGGTCAGAGGACAGGATACAAGGAGTCAGGAGACCCGGGCTCTGCACCCAAGCTCTACCACTGAGCTGCCCACAGTTATATAGAGAGTTGCTTTCCCCCCAGCTGTACATGAGAATGCTTCAACATGCTCTACAAAGATTCACTCATTATCTTCCACACGTATACCCCCAGGAAGTAGGCAAGTGTTCTTATCTCCACGTTCCAGATGAGGCTTGGACAGGTCAAGGGCCTGACTTTTCAAAAGGTGCTGGGTGCCCACAACCCCAGCGGAAGTCAACGGGAGCTGCAGGGACTCAGCTCCTTTGAAGAACTGAGCCCAAGGTGACATGCCTAAGGATATGTTGAACCTGCAGGAGACCTGAGGAGCTCCTGGCTCCTGGTCTTGTGGCCAGACCAGCCTGTACATCTACAGAAAGGGCTCCCAACTACCAGACAGCAGCACCAAGAAAAGTCCCCAAAACACCAAAAGTCAGACATGTTTCTTGTAGAAAAGAGAAGGTAAAATACCAGTCCTACTCAAGTCAATGGCAAAGTTCCCACTGACTTCAACAAGGCCAGGATTTCAACCAGATTAATTACAAGAAGCTTCTTTTACCACAAGAGTCTCTCTCCCTCTCTCTCAGGAGTCCCCAGACCAGGGTCCCTCGAACCCAGTCTCCTGTCTTTGCCACTAGCCAGTGCCAGCTGCTTCAGAGTAAGGTTTAAGAGCAGCCCGCCCAAAAGGAAGTTTTTTCCTAACTTCCATCAGCTGAAGTTTAGCTGGAGCCAGGCTAACCCCCACCCTTCATCCAAGTTTACTATAAAAGGTCAGATTCTCCAGAGGAACACTTGGCAAGCAGAACGCCAGGAGAGCCCTCTGCAGGTGCTCTGCTTAGGGGGTCAGGAAGCAGAAACTACCACAAAATATTACAAGGGATTTAAAAAAAAAATCCCATTTGCGCTGCAGCAGCTGCTTGTAGTGCCACAGGCTACAGAGTCAATGCTTCCAGGTGAATATACGACAATCTAGGATATCACCACTGCTGGTCTCACGAGCCAGGTATGAACCCAGTGCTCACTCGTTCTACCGAGGCAGAGTCCCAGAAAGGATTAGACACGTTTGTGGGGAAAGAGATCATCTACAACTGCTCTAGCAGGGATTTGTCTTATAAGGGCCACCAACCCTGATGCCCTAGAGCATGAATTGGTCAGCAGCAGGGGACCAGGAAAAAATTACCCCTTCCCTCACCTCTCCCTCCAGAGGGAAATAATGAAAATATTGGGGCATTAAGGAGGGGATTTACACTCTCCCTGAAATATCCGACATAGGCCACTGTTGGGGACGGGATCCCAGGCTAAACAGATCACTGGGTCTTCTGCCACGGCAGGAGGAGGAATACTGGACTAAATGGACCATTAAGGTCTGTTGCTGCATGGCAGGTGGAGAGATACCAGAGTAGACAGACCATTGGGTCTGTTGTGGCGCGGCAGGCGGTGGGATACCAGAGTAGACAGACTGTTGGGTCTGTTGTGGTGTGGCGGGTGCAGGGATACCAGACCAGACAGACCATTGGGTCTGTTGTGGTGCGGCAGGTGGAGGGATACCAGACCAGACAGACCTATGGGTCTGTTGTGGTGCGGCAGGCGGAGGGATACCAGACCAGACGGACGGTTGGGTCTGTTGTGGCGCGGCAGGCGGAGGGATACCAGACCAGACAGACCGTTGGGTCTGTTGTGGTGCGGCAGGCGGAGGGATACCAGACCAGATGGATCGTTGTGTCTGTTGTGGCGCGGCAGGCGGAGGGATACCAGACCAGACAGATGGTTGGGTCTGTTGTGGCGCGGCAGG